GGGAGGTCATGGGTTCGATTCCTGTCGGGGACTCAGAATTTTTCTTTGTCCCACGCTCGTGTCATGTTGATTAATTCACCTTCACATTTCATTTCCGAGCTTAAAATTCACCATCTTTATTAACTTATCAAAAATGATATTTGTTTGGAAATGTACGGTGAAAGTGCATTTCATGGATTTAATGAGAAAATTCGTTAGCGGAAGACACTGAGAAGACCCTATTCGGAAGTCACTCAATGAAAATAATGAAAACCGTACCATTGCCACCGCTGGACACAGCTCACCAATATTTGACACCTTCTTCCCATTATCACACGAAGCACCGTCAACAAGAAGTTGGCTCATCGTCAGAAATTAATTTTTTCCACAATAAATATAGACAAAAGTGATGAAAAAGAGTGAAGATACTTTTGTATGATCTCAGAAAGGTTGTCCAACCTTCTCACCGGCTTTCAGCTTTGTAACCATTCTTTGCTTAGTAGCCTGGCTTTGTGTTTCCCCAAAATGGCGGGAGAGTTCGCATTCCTAAACAAATGAAAGAAAGGTCGATTTTGTTTGTTTGTGTATGAGATCAGCCATTAAGGTAAGCTTAAGATGTCTTATTAATCCGTAGAGAATTACAGCCATAGATATTTAAAGATCCTCTGGACTGATTCGAATTCTGTGCCGTGCGATCTCTTACTGGAGCTGGAGCTGGAGCGGGGAGCAGCGGATATTAATCATGTTCGTTTCGCTGCGATGAAGGGTCATTTCGTAGAAACAGCTGAGACACAAAAATGCCAGTTTTACTCTAACATTTGAAAGAAGAGCAAAATCAGGTGCTTGGAAAAGGACAGGGTACTTGTAAAAGCGAAATTTCACACAAATTAACCCCCTTTTCTTCCAAGATATTCCTTCCACCATCATCTTTTTGATTTGTAAATGTACATGTAACAGTTTGACAATCTCACTCAACTCAAAAGTGAACTAAGATTAAGGGACAAAACTGATGAAGTTAAATGCAATAAGGAGCTCAAACCTTCCATGTGCAGTACCGTTGCAGTTGGCGGTGTTTTGATTGGCACATGCATCAGTATTCCACATGATCTTAGACCTAAGGGCATACTGGCAATCTGTATTTACAATGTAGTCAGTGTTTTCTTGAGTGTTAGCATTTTATTAAGCGTGGAAGCTCATCTCAGAAGTTTTTCTCCCCCACTTCCTTCCATCTCTGCCCACTGTTTTATTAGTGTGACAGGTGCTTATTTGCTCCCCTCCATGTGGAGGCTTCATGCTGGGTTGCCAAGATTTGGAAGCCATGGGAGAGGTCTCCATTTACATGTGGGAGCTGGGTGCCAATATTGGAAGCTCCTGGATGATTCAGGCACCCAACTTCCATTTGAGAGGCAGGTGTTAATTGGGGCTTATTCCATCTGTCAGTTTGTTTTTCCCTTTAGATCGTTTTGTTCCAGATAACATCAAAACACTGTACATGTGTCTCTCCTATGGATGTTGTTCTAGCTTGAACCCCTTTGCTCTCTAGAACTACTTTTGAAAATCTGGCTTCTGAAATACCCCTCCCTCTCTCAACTTCATTCATACGGTGTACATGTATGAAGACATATCAATATTTATATCAAATGAATGTAAATTTTAATTTTAACCAAAGTGGATGACTTAGTTGAATGCATGTACACCTGTAATAACTTTTACAATGCTTAAGTCTTGCACACAGAGAAACAGTATAGCAGTCAGCCATCTTGCCCTATTCCCAACCCCTACATACATGTATGACTTTTCCAAAGAGACAAATTTTCTACTTTGTGATGGGTAGGCATTTTCCTCCCTAGACCTCAAATTCCATAATTTATGCTTTGATGTTTCCTTATGTTGGTGAAATTTTGCTTCCTGTTTTACAGTCAGTTATTGAATGCCTAAACTACTTGGCCACCGGAGACATGCCTCCAGGCAGCAAAGGAAATTTGTTTGTTCATGACCCTAAGGTAGGATGTACAAGAATAATTAGCTCATGATGATCAGTACCAGTAATTCAGAGATATTTTACATGCAATTAGTGATTTACAGACAAAAGCCCAATGTACTTGAATCATGAATGATGATACATTATATAACAAAACAGCCCATTATACATGTACTTACAGTTTGTTTGAATCCTGACTTATGATACATTATATAACATAGAAAAGTCATGCCATCAATGTTCATGGTCATATAAATGTGCATCATAATCCTATGATTATCACTCATAATTTGAGCTGGGTTAAGTTTGATTTGCCATTTCAATTGGCAATGTTTAAACTGCAATTATAATTTATTACTGATTCATGCTTTCAAGCTATGATTCACTTGGGAAATTTGGAGAGCACTCAAGAAGATAGAGTTGCTCTCAACTGTACCTTGAGCAATGCAACTCTCAGGCTTCTTTCATGCTCCAAACTTCCTCATGTCTCATAACTTGATG